TCAGCATCACATCATCAGCATCATCACCAAGATCACCACCTCCATCATCATCACCAACATCATCATCATGATCAGCATCATCAGCGCCATCAACAGCATCAACATCACCATCATCATCAGCAGCATCATCACATCATATCCGCACCATCAGCAGCATGATCATCCTCATCATCATCATCATCATCATCATCAGCAGCATTATCATCATCATCAGCATCATCATCTTGATCACCATTATCATCAGCATGATCATCATCATCATCATCACCACCATCACCACCACCATCGTCATCAGCAGCATCGTCACCACCACCACTATCATCAGCATCGACATCATAATCATCATCAGCAGCAGCATCATCTCCATATTCATCATCATCAGTATCATCAGAATCATCATCATCAGAATCATCATCATAACCATCATCATCAACGCCACCAGCATCATAATCCTCATCACCATCACCACCACCATCACTATCATCATCACCATCATCACCAGTTCTATCATCACCAGCAACACCATCATCAATATTATCATCAACATAATCATCATCATCATCATCATCATCATCAGCAGCAGCATGGTCACCATCATTAGCATCATCATCATCATCATCATCATCATCATCATCATCATCGTCATCATCAGCCACACCATCCATCCCCCTCCTTCCCCCACCCCCCGCACGCCTCCCTCCTGCGTCCCTTGCCCCCCACGACCACGACGACGACGACGACGACAACGGCAACGACCACGACCACAGACACGAGCACGACGACGGCGACGACCACGAACACCACGACGACGACAACAACGACCACGACGACGACGGCGACGACGACGACGACGGCGACGGCGACGGCGACGGCGACGGCGACGGCGACGGCGGCGGCGGCGGCCTCGGCGGCGGCTACCGCGGAGCTCCCGCCGCGGTGACGGAATCCACTTGCAGCGCGCGGGCCAGCGCCAGCCCAGCCAAGCCGCCTCCGACCACCGCCACCGCGGGGCGCCCCGCCGCCGCCTGGCTCGGCGCACTCGAGCGGTGACTGAGTGTGATTATCCTTCGTCCTCTTACGAAGGGCGTTCTAATCATGACTCCGCTGAGGTGCAGCGGTTGGGGCAGGTAGTCGATTGCTGTTGTTGCTCACGCTGGCAGCAGAACGAAGCACCGATTGGGCGCAAAGCCGCGTCGATCTTAAAGTCAGATCGTGGCCTGCAACTAACCACGAGCGCGAAACGCTAGGTGCAAAGTCTTGCCGAACCTTTCCTGCAACCTTCCCTGGCGGCGGGTAACGGCAGGGAGGTGATGGTGAGGGCGACTGCGGCATGCCAAAACCACCTGATGAAGGACCTGGCTCAGCGCACTCGGAACCTGGCCAGCTTTTCCATCAAGCGTTGACCACGCACCCGTTCCCCGCCTAGCACCCAGTGCACATGACGTCCTGGGCCACATGTTTTGAATTATCGGAATACGGGGGCGTGCAAACTTCTGTAAAGCCGCCCCCACCGGGGAATCGTAGCTCGTGTTCGCGTCGCGCGTGACGCGCATGCGAAGCTGTGCGCGGGTTCCCCTGGGTCACCGGGGTGGATCGGGAAAAAGAACACTCCCGTCTCTGCAGCGGCGGGCGGCGGGCGACTGACGTCGCGGTGTTGCAGCATCGCGGTGTCGGGGCTGAGTCGCCAGTAGTGCCACTGAAGGGCTGAGGGGGCTAGGCCACGAGCTGGGGATCTTCCTGGGCTGGGGCGTCTTGGCTGCCGGGCTCAGTTCGCCGCGCCACGAAACGACATACAGTCCACATATGCACTTGACCCCACGTTGGGAGGACACGTGGAACTGAGGACCATATCCCCAACCCACCCACCGACCCGCCCAACATGCACACAACTATCTAAGCGGCCTTCAAGAAAGCGGCGGAAAGGCAAAGCCGTCGCACCATCCTGCTGAGGCTCAAAATTTTCAGACAGGGTGAAGCGCAGATCCATCCACAGCGAACTCGAGAGAACAAGAAGATGCTGAAACCCCCATATGCCGTAAAACGTACAGGGTGGTGGAGGGGCACTGATTGGAGTCGAAGAAAACAACGACACTGGCGAAAAGGAACAGGAGGGCACGACCAGCAGCAATGGCGGATCTGTGCACTTGTCGCAAATGTCGCATGCTTCTCACATCTGCGAGCGGAAGCGGCACATTTCCGCTTTCGCACCATCTTGCTGGCCTGACTCGGCGCGACTTGAGCGGGTGCTCGGAGCCAGGGCGAGGCCCCATGGGCCCCAGTCGGTGCAGCGAGAATCTCGCTGCCGCAAAGGCGGCAGCAAATCCTCTCGCCCGATGTCAAGCATCGCGCCCGGCCCGACGTAGGCGCCCACCTGCAGGACCACAGCAAGTGCGCACCAGGAAGTACAGAGCCTGGCTCTTGAGCAGCAGCCATTGCGCGATGAGCCAGTCTGCATCGATCGGGCAAGGGTCGCGAATGCGGCCTGGCATCTGTCGCAGCCAGCAGCGCAACGCCGCCTTGGCCCCAGGCAGCACGTGTCCTCCGCGACAGAGATGGGCCAAGTGCAGCAGCGCTTAGCCGCGCTGCGTCCGCCGGCGTAGCTGAGGATGCTCCCTCTGCGCGTGAAGCCGCTCGAAGTAGTCCGACATCGCATAGTCGGCCGCCTCGCGGGCGCGGAGGCCGCGGCCCCTGCCAGCGGCCCAGGCCTTGAACTCGCCGACTTCGGCTGCATAGGTCGCCAAGGTGGCGGGCGCCACGCTGCACTCCACTGGGTTCCGTGGACGCAGGGCTGGCCCGCGTCGGAAGGCAGGCGGCTGCGTTAGTCGCTGCCTTCTGCCTCCCCTCGGCCGCGAGCTCACGCCCGCATTCGCGCCTGGGCTGCCCGACGCGTCGGCGACGAGCCGCCCCGGGACAACGTCGAGCTCCGGGCCGACTGGCGGGGCCGACTTCCACTCGTCCAAGCCCCTTCGCCGACGACGTCGGAGCCCAAGGTTGGCCGCCTCCGCGAAAAGTGCCCTTGTCAACGATGCGTCGACTCTGAGCACGAGCAGGAACAGGGAAGATGCGATGACGACGGGCCTCTGCAGCAAAAAGAACATTCGAACTACGCTGAAACACAACTTTGAGCCGTGGATCCCTGCACGTCGCGAGGCTTACTTCCAACGAAACTGTTGCTGGTCATCATCCCAGACACGGAGCACGCCCGTCACAACGGCATGGAAACGACTCTTAAGGCACTTCACGGCAAGCTTCTCAAAACCACGGAGTGCCCCAATAAGACGAGTTGGCTTCTCAATGAGACCCTCCAAACCACAAGCGTGAAATTCAACAACTGAGATGCGCACGTCTGCCGGGAACTCCCGGATAGGCTCGAACCCAGAGAGGCGCGAAGTGAGCGGACTCTCCAGGGCGAAAGCCACATTCGATTTGAGACACTGTTGGATGACTTCGGAGGAGAACCAAGAATCCTGAGCGCCCAAGACGTCTTTCTCTCTGGCGACCTCGCGGCACCTAACCCCCCGCCTCGCGATGCTGAAGGCGCTGCAGGGAGCGCCAAGCCACGTGCACACACATAACTCTGCCACGCTGGATCAGCTCGCTAATGCACTGACGAACCCCTGGGTCAAGTAGATCATTTTCAAGACCTTCAAAGAGCTCTATACCTTCACCGCAAAGGACTCCAAGAGACGCCACGGCCCGCGCGAGGCCACCCCTGCCAGCGAAGAGCTCGAAGAAGACTTCACCCCCTCGAACTCGAGCGGTCCGACTTAGAGCGAGGTAGACCTGTGCATCCAGCAGGGGGCCCTGAGGCTAACCGTAGGAAGAGCAGTGGAGGTGGGGGACCCAGACGACCTTGTAGCACGCCTAGAGCACCCGGTAGACACCCAAGATGGAGTACCAGCGGGAGCAGAAGAGGAACATGCTGGGGGCCCCCTGGAGGGCCTCAATGATGTCGCCGCCGTGCTGGACCTCGCTGGGGCCCGCGTGGATAACGACGTCGACGTGCGCCAGAGGCCCCGTCAGAGACCGGAGCGTCTCTGGAGGCCACTGAGCCACCTGCGTGGACCTCGCGCATGGGTTCTTCGCCCCCGACCGCCCGCAGCTCGCGAGCGAGAGCGCCCGGCGCGCCACCGACAGGCCCGCGATGTCCAGCAGCGCGGACGATGGCCATATCTCGGCCTCCGCTCTCCAGGCCGAGGAGCTGAGCCTTCTCGGTCGTGCATCCGCCGTTGTCGAAGCGCCTCGAGCCCGCGCCAGTCGGGTCGCGAATCCCCTCGAGGTGTCGCGTCGACCACTGCATTTCGCAAGCAATCTGAAGCGCAGCAGCTCGCTGCCCAAGATAGCGCAGGCCCCGGCCAGTCTTCTCCGCGCCCCGCTCACGCCCGCGATCGAAGGCGCAACGGGCGACTAGGCTGTCGGAGAGGGACAGGGGCCGTTTGCGATGGCAGCGGGGATTCCTGCATGCCCTGCGGAGTCCGGTCAGCATCGCCCAGCTCTCCTGCGCGTTGATATGCTCGGCGGTGCCCCCCCACCTGCGCTCGAACAAGGTCCCCCAGCGCTCGGGTGGGTCCCAGGTAGCGCTGAGGGGAGGCACGCGGCTGGCATCTTCGCGAACGACCCGTTCACGAGTCGCCCTCTGCATCAAGACACCCAATAGACTCCCGATGGAGTCGCTCCAGTCGAGTGGGAACACGCGATGGGCATCCAGCGAGGGGGGCCGCCTGGCCGCCCCATGGCTCGCGACTGCCACCCAGCGGGGAGAGGCCGACGCCGTCGCACATGGCAAGGTACTCCACAGGCTCGACGCCGGCGCCAAGTCGGTCCTCGACGAACCGCCAGCGCGCGCGGTAGGCAGAGGCCCCCCGCAGCTCTGGCTCACGCGCGGTCGCCACGGCCAGGCAATAGCCGAGGTCGGAGAAGTCGGAGCAGCACGCCGTCCTCAGGCGAGGAGCTCCCGAGCCTCGCTGACAAAATGACCAATCCCGAAATGACCTTGATCTCCTGACGAACAGAAGCCCATATTCGGCAGCGCCTGCCCAGAGAGCGCTGAATAAACTGGTAGAGCGCCCACAGAGACGACAAGGCGGGCCCGTTCAGCATGAAGAGGCGAACTACGCGGCCGACCCAGACTCGAAGCACTTCGCCCCGAAGGCGTCGACGACGGAGAAGCTCCTTACCAGCTAAGGACACACGCAAAACTCGCCGAGGCTGATGGCGGAGCAGACGCCGGCGCCAATCGATGACGGCCGCCAAATGCTCGAGCGCGTGGGTCTGCTCAGTAACATCGCACGCGCGCATCTTCTTTTCGGAGCAGCGTCCCAAAACATAATGTGCATCCGAAGAGTCGGCAGCAGCACTCAAGGGCGCCGAGTTGTCGACATGCGCAGAGGCGATCGGGCTCGCGAAAGACATCCGCGGGGCTCGATGCTTTTCACGGGCGGCTCTAGGAAGACCCCCTGGGGCCCCCGAAGCGACAATGTGCGCGACTGCAGAGTGGCAAATATGGAGAGCCTACGCAAAACCCATGCTCAGCGCTCTGGAGCACGGGCACACAACAGTGGACTTCACTGGCACCATCGTCTCCAAGTCGTCGCCCCAGACCTCTGAGACACCGTAGACACCGGCCTCGCCTGGGACGCCCATGCCGAACCAGCTAGCCATCCCCCAATTGTCGAAGTGGTAGATGGTAGAACCCGCCCACGATGACCAAAGAACCCCCGGAGAAGGCGAACGGGGCGAAGCCGCCTTGGCCCTCGATGAAGTTTTGCTCCTCCTCGGCGTTCAACTCGGCATCGGCGATCTCGGAGAGCTCCGCCAAGCTGAGGCCCGCGTCCGCGAGCGCCGCAACGGTGCCCAAGTCGGCGCGGGGAGGGGCCCCCACTTCACGTCGGCGGCGCGGGCGTCGATGACGAGGCGGGCCACCCCAGTCTTCTTCCACGCGAACTAGGTCGCGACCCCGGGGAAAATGCAGCGCCTGAAGGTGATCAGCTGGTTCTTGCACAGCGCGTCGAAGCTTCTTTGAGCGCCGCAAATCTGGGCGCCAGTGCTGGGCGACAGACGCGCCAGAGAGGCGATCTGCCTCCGGCTCGGCACCGCTCCTCAAGATGCGTTTCGCGAAGAGCACGGCCCGCCGAAGTGCAGCAGGGGGGGGGGGGGGGGCGGGCTCCAGCGGAAGAGGAGTGGCGACGCCCTTCGTGACCTCCAGCCTGTGAGGAAGCTAGGGCGCCATGTGCCGCGGCTCCTGCGCGCGCGGGCCTTTCGCTCCCCGCGCTGCGTCGAGCGCGCCAAGCGGGGCGAGGCTCTCCGGGCGGTTGCCGCAAAGCGAAATGCGGTCGCCCAAGGGGTCGAGGATTGACAGCCGAGAAGAAGAGAGCCTGCCCGAGCCGCCAGAATACAAGCAGCGAGGGTCTGAACACACTCTTGTGCGATAGATGAAATTGAGCGAACGCACCGACCCCAGAAGACGCTTGTCTCGGCGCCCGGCCTGTCCGCGAAGACATCGCCACCGCCGCCCGGGCCGCGACGAGGACCCCCTGGCGAAACAAACTGGCAAGGGCAGTGGATCACCACGCCGTCGCCGACCGAGATCACGAAGACCACGGCGTTCAAAAATCGGAGCCCGAGGCAATAGACCGAAGGCCCCTCCCCGCGGAAAAGGGCAGCCCAGGGAACCGCCCAGGAAAACGTTCCCGCCCAACCCCGACTGGGGCCTAACTCTGACCTTTTGCCGTCTTCGGCGCCGGCCCCGCGACCACCGCCCTTCGGGCCCTTCGGGCCCTTGGGGCCACTCCGTCTCTTGTCCTCGGCGGCTCGCTCCTCCCGCGGCAGCCGCGTCTGCTTGAACGCGAAGGCGCGCTAGCGCTGCTTCTCCGCAACCCACCTCGCGAACCTCGGAACCGCGACCCGGCCCTTGTCCTCGGTGGCGCCTGCGAACATGTATCCCAGACCGCTGTAGTCCAGGTGCCTGGCATACTTCTCCACCGCGAGCTCATGCTGGATGAGCCCCCTGACCAACTGCTCCGCCATGGCAGAGTTTACCAGGTTGATTTGGTCGCAGGCAACGCGCAATCGCAGCGCTTCCAGGACGATACTGCGATCATGCGCGATGCCACTGTTGGCGGAGACCCCAGACGCCGAGCACCAGCTCTGATGATACGCGCCGAACGAGCCGTCGGTCGCGTCGCGGACCCCCACGAGATGCCCCTCGACGGCGCGCGGGCCCGGGAAAGGGAAGTCGTCGAAGCTGGTCTCCTCCAACTTCTCAGCGGCCTTCTTCGCGCGAGTGCACCGCCGACCACCCGCCGAACGAAAGGTGCCCAGCAAGCGATGGTCGCCTCCTCCGCCGCGACGGCTCTCCCAGGTCTCCAGGTCGGCACTGTTGACCCGCTCGACGTGCACCTCCGAGCTGGCAGCGAGCTGGCGTCCGCCGCATCGAGCTGCACCACGCCCTTGGTCTCGCGCAGCAGCGCTCGCCCCGGGTCGCCCAGCACGCCAGGCTCGACCATCCCGCCGAGAATCGGATGCGAGGTGCTGCTGACCACCCAGACCTCCTCTGCGTCGACCTCGATGTCCTCGCCCGCAGTGTCCGCCAGGACTCGAGCTCGAGCGACGGCTTCGCTGAGCTCCCGCACGGGGACCGGGTCGAAAAGGAAGCAATCGTTCCGACATCTGTCTGGCACTGGTCGGCCTCTGGCAAGCAGCTCGAACCTGACCGTGGACGTGTCAAGAATCTGGAGATCACCCGTCGGCGTGAGAACAACCCACCGTCCCGCTGTGACACGCACGACGATGACACGGTGGTGCCACGTGAAATTTGGATCCTCACCGAAACGTACCACAATCTGTCGTTCCTTGATATCTCAAGCACTCACTGTATATCAGCTATACGAAGAGATGATGGTGTCGCAGACCCACTGCGAGTACGTATCTGAACTGCTGGCTCCCGAACCACGATACGCTGCTGTCGACCTTGGGCACGAGAACACAGACGACCAAAGAGCAAGCCGATCGCGAAACTGACCAGCGAGAAACTGAACGTGACGCTGAAGCAGAAAAAACAACTGATCATCCGATTGAACTGCAACTGAAGCCCCTCCAATTGTCGAGTCATAAACCGCTCCACGTGCTGACACCCCGAATCACTTCCGGTTTCACCAAATGCAGCCTCAAAATGACAATGGCACGTCGGCTCCGGATTCGGAGCGTTGAAAGAGATAATGTCTCGCAGGACGGCGCCAACATAATGAAGATCCAGAAGGAAAGTCGTGTTGCCGCAACGTCGGCCGGGCGGGCCTTCTCGAGCAAAAGAAGGACCACTGACGCAACCTGTAGGGCTACGTCTGTGTCCGAAGGCCTCTCGTCCTGTGGAAAACGCGTAAGAACTGACATATAACAGAAAACTGTGTAGCATTGTGTGTTCTCGCGTGGAACGACATTGCATGGTGATTTATCAAGTCTCGTGCATGGGGACAAGTGGTAGCAAAGTCTGGTAGAGCAGCACATACTAAAATATTGTACAGAACGAATATAGTATCCTATAATACATTGCTCGACCGGGTGAGGAGGAGAAGGAGGAGAAGGAGGAGGAAGGGGAGGAGGGCGAGGAGAAGGGAGGCGAGAAGGAAGAGGCTGAAGTACTTGCGAGATCCGTGGTGGCACTGTTGGACACTGGCGAAGAGGTGGAGGACGAGGAGGCTCTGGCAATGGAGGAGAAGGAGGACACACATTGTTTACAAGCGGCTTATATTACTCGAACTAAACACCGAAAACGGGGATCTCCGGATCTGGAATCGGTCGAGCGCCGTGGTCCCCCTTGGTCCCTCGTGGCCGCCCGTGGTCTCCCGTGGCCTCCCATCGCATTAGCATCATTAAGATGACAGTTACGACTTTCCGCAGTCGTGTTAGCTTCAGTATTCGCTGTAACCTTCGTTTCGATGCTGGTGTGACTTCTAGGAGTAGCAGCAGCATATAAATACTCGCATGTGTCTTGGCAGCTGAATTGGTATGAGTCTGAGGCCGCGCTCCCCTCTCGCAGCGAAGAAGTCCGCCATGAGCACGGACAGACGGGCACGGTGCAGTTCCCACCTTTCTCTGGGCGCCCTGCCAAGGAATCCGATGTTCGAAAACATACGGAAGCACACGGAAACTCGCGAAACCGTTGGAAGCATGCGCAACCGTAGAGAACAAAACTCGTACAAAAACTAATGAATCATATAGATATACAGATGTATATATATATATAAATAAAGAGAGAGAGAGAGAGAGAGAACAAAAAAAAAAAAAAAAAAAAAAAAGAGAGAGATCGAAAGCAGCAGCAAACAGTTGGAAGCTGTGTCATCCACCCTTCGGGCGGCCAGCCTCATCCTTGAAACTTGGTCCTAACACGTAGGCGGAGAGGAAGGAAGAGGGAACAGGGAGAAAATCACCCCTAAACGTCCAAGCGCGCCGAAAGAACGGAGAGGAAGGGCGAGGTCAAGCTGAAGAGGCCAGCACGCACGGTTCGACAAGCAAGGAAGCTCACGAGCGAACGAAAACGCACGACGGCGGTGGACAGGGCGGTGACAGCGACGACGACGACGACGACGACGACGACGACGACGACGACGGAGGGAAGAGGTAGAAGGGAGGGGGGAGGAGGAGGTATGAGCACAGCGAGAGAAGAGGGACGGAGGCGGTGGGTGGAGGTACGACGACGACAGCGGCGGCGGCGGTGACGACGGCGGCGACGAAGACGACCGCGGCGACGACGACAACCGCCGACGACCGCGGCGACGACGATAACCGCCGCCGCCGCCGCCACCGACGACGACGACGACGATGACGACGACGACAATGACGACGACGGACCGCGGCCGGCCCGAGAAGCGCGACGAGCGGCCAGCCGCGGGCGCCTGGCGCTTGGGGCTACGGCTGCGGCCCGCCGGGGCGCCGCGGCCGCCGCGCACGTCGTCCATGGCACGGAGGGGGGGGGGGAGGGAGGGAGGGAGGACGGGAGGGGGGGTGGGAGGGGCGGAGAGGGGGGGAGGGGCAAGCTAGGTGCGCTCGCGTCATACCATGGCGCAGATCTACTCCCTATTCGCAGAATCGAATGTCGAAGCATGGCGGCGGAGCATTACATGGCGTAGCATGGCGTTGAAGATCAATGCGTAGCCTGACATAGCATGACGTGGCGACGCTCCAAAATGAGAGGGGTTCTACGGCCCAACAAATCAAAGAGCCGACACCGCATGTGTAATCATTTCCGATGGTTTTTTCGGGGGGCATTTTCTAGATGTTGGGGCCCATTGGAAGGACCGAAAACCATGCCGTGGCATGGCGCTGGAAATAATGAGGCCAGCGCTGCACCGGGAGCACGATTCGGAACGACCAGAAGCGCGGAAATGAGGTCAGCGCTGCAGCAGGAGCACGATTCGGAACGAGCGGTAGCCCGAAAATGAGGCAAACGCTTCAGCGAGAGCAGCATTTTAAAGAGAAAACCATGCGCGGAAGCGCGGAAATGAGGACGCGTAGCCTGACATAGCATGGCGTGGCGACGCTCCAAAGTGGGGGGGGCTTCTGCGGCCCAAAAAATCAACGAATCGACACCGAATGTGTCATATTTCCCATGTTTTTTTCGGGGATCTTTTCTAGATTTGGGGGCGTTTTGGAAGGATGGAAACCATGACGTGGCATGGCGCTGGACAAAATGACGCCAACGCTGCAGCGGGAGCACGATTCGGAACGACCAGAAGCGCGGAAATGAGGTCAGCGCTGCAGCGGGAGCACGATTCGGAACGAGCGGTATCCCGAAAATGCGGCCAGCGCTTCAGCGAGAGCAGCATGTTGAACATGATCGACCCACGAACCCGGAAAGGATTATAGAAATGTAAGGCATGGCAACGTTTCAAAGGCGACGGGCAAATGCAATGCTGAATGTATCGATCTTCATGTACTGTGCCGAGCGCTGTGCTGTGCTACGCCGTGCTGAACTGCGATGTGCCATGCCGCGATTGTGCTCTATAAGCGTTGTGAGTCGAGTCCTCCCTGGCATACGAATCCTGACCGAACTGATATGGATCTTAAGCCCCAGCTGCCTGAGCAGATGGTAGCTGCCCCAGAACTAATCTACAGAGGGGACATGCCAGGAAGACGCGCCGCGAAACGTTCCAAGGGACGCGCCAAGCGACGTGCCAGGGGACGTGCCATGGGCACGCACCGCGGGACGTGCCAAGGGACGCGCTACGGAGCGTGCCACTGGACGTGCCGCGAGACGTGCCAACGGACGCGCCGCGCGACGTGCCAGGTGAACTCGCCACGGAACGCGCCAAGGAACGTGCCAAGGTGCACAGTTGAGTGTATCGATCTTGATGTACTGCGCCAACGGCTGTGCTGTGCTGGGCCGTAGCTCGAGCTGCCTGAGCAGATGGTAGCTGCCCCACAACTAATCGACAAGGGGACATGCCAGGAGAACGCGCCGCGGAACGCCCCAAGGGACGCGCCAGGCGACATGCCAGGGGACGTGCCACGGGCACGCACCGCGGGACGTGCCAAGGGGACGCGCTACGGAAATGGACGTGCACCGCGCGACGTGCCAGGGGGACTTGCCATGGAACGCTCCGCGGAACGTGCCAAACAACATGCCAGGCTGTAATGCTCAAGGTATCTGTATTGATGTACCGTGCCGAAAACCGTGCTGTGCCTGGGCGAACTGGACACGTGAAAACACGCGTTTCGCTCAAGACGTTCTCAGCACATCCTCATGCTAGACATCCGCCTGGGCAACCTGGACACGTGCAAACAAGCGTCTCGATCAAGACTTCCTCGACACATCCTCATGTTAGACATCCGCCTGGGCGACCTGGACACGTGAAAACAAGCCTCTGGTTCGAGACATCCTCAACAAATCCTCATGCTAGACATCTGTCTGGGCAACCTGGAGGCGTGAAACGAAGCGTCTCGCACGAGACATCCTCAAGACCTGGGCACGTGAAAACAAGCATTTCAAATGAGTGATCCTCTGAATTCAGGTCCCCAGGAGAGGACAATCTGTAACACAAAACAAGCGTTTCGCTCGAGACATCCTCAACACATTATGAACAACAGGCGTTCCGGTCGAGACATCCTCGTAAATTAATTTCGTCGGCCCTAGACGACCTCGTTATTGATCGCAAATAATTTCGCCGGACCTAGAGCCGTCGAAACAGGAGGTAGACCAACTCAAATACTCGACCCACGAACCTGGAAAGGAATATACAAATGTGAAACATGGAAACGTTTCGCGACACCTTCTTAACCGTCGGGCAATTGCAATGCTCAAAATAACGATGGTGATGTACCGTGCCACGGGCTGTGCTGTGCTGTGCTGAGTTGAAATGTGCCATGCCGCGTTGAACTACGCCGTGCGCTATTGCATTGTGGAACAAGCCGTCCTTGGCGTCAGAATCCTGACCGAACCGATTTGGATCTTGAGTTCGAGTTGTCTGAATGCATAGATCAGGCTCACAAGCTCTTGAAAAGAAAACGAAGTCACGGAAGAGAGAAGGTTTTTAAGATCCAAATCAATTGCATGATGCCGCGCCGCGGGTTCCGCCTCACTTTGCCGCGATGCGGCTGCGTTGCCCTGTGATGTCACGTTGCGCCAACACGTGATGCGCTCTACCGCGTTACGAACCATTCGCCAGCGGCGTCCAAGTCCTGCCCTAAGTGGTTTGGATATTCAGCTTGAGCTGCCTGGCCGCGCGGGTGCCCTGGACTGGCGACAATCGAAACGCTCGTGCGGAGCAGTCAACCAACTCGAGCTCAAGATCCAAATCAGTTCCGATGAGGAATCAACTCACAGCTTATTTTTTGAACAAACCTGCGCAAAAATGTCAAGAACACTGCGAGCGCAATGCCGCCGAAAGCGCGGCGGCTCAAAGAGCATTCCGGTTCCCGCCAACCAGAGCGGGGAGAGACGAGAGCTGACCCCGGGGGTGCAATGCCGCGCAGCACGGAGCCGACCCTGAAAGTGCAATGCCTGGCGCGGTAGAAGGAAGACAAGGGCTGACCCTGAGGGTGCAATGCTCCGCGGAGAGAACGAGGAGGAACGAGAAAACCGGCTGACCCTGGGGGCGCAATGCGGTCAGCGGTGAACTCTGTAGGCACACCAGTCGGCGATCTCCCTCATCCGGTCGGGCCCATATATAGGAATATACGTAAAAACGCACGGATTCGTGCCCCTCGAGCACTGGGCAGGGGAACCGCATGCGAATTGCGCAATTGGACCTTCAGTGGAGCTCCGTATGGGGCCACGAAGCGCTGCACTGGGTGGAGGAACCGCATGCGAACTGCGCAATTGGGACCTTCGGTGGAGCTCCTTATGGGGCCACGAAGCGCTGTACTGGGTGGGGGAACCGCATGCGAACTGCGACACTGGGGCCTTCGGGGTAGCTCCCTCTTGGACCTGTACTGGGCGGGAAAACCGCATGCGAACTGCGCCACTGCGACCTTCGGTGGAGCTTCCTCTGGGGCCACGAAACGTTGTAATGAGTGGGGGAACCGCATGCGAACTGCGCAACTGGGACCTTCGGTGGGGCTTCCTCTGGGGCCACGAAACGCTGCACTGGGTGGGGGAACCGCATGCGAACTGCGACACTAGGACCTATGGTGGAGCTCCCTCCGGGGCCGCGAAGCGCTGTACTGGGCGGGGGAACCGCATGCGAACTGCCCCACTGGGACCTTCAGTGGAGCTCCTTATGGGGCCACGACACGTTTTACTGGGTGGGGAAACCGCATGCGAACTGCGTCATTGAAACCGTCGGAGGAGCTCCCTATGGGGCAACGAAACGTGTGAGGGGTGTGTCACATTGAGGGGCTGACGGGAGAAGGGAGGAGGGGGAAGAGGAAGGAGTGAGGAACGCGGGGCGCTGTCTCTTCAAAACAAGGTCCCAACACCACAGGATGGTTGAAAACAAAAACGACGAGAAGGAGGAGGAGAACGAGGAGGAGGAGAAGCAGGGGGAGGAAGAGGAGATGAATGAGGAGGAAGGGGAAGAGGAAGAGGAAGAGGAAGAGGAGGAGGAGGGAGAAGACGGAGGAGAGGAGGAGGAGGAGGAGGAGGAGACGGAGGAGGAGGAGGGGAAGGGAGAGGAATCCGCCGATCCGGCGTGTGAGTTTAAGAAAGCTACAACCTGAGCTTCAGATCTGCTGGGGGGGGGCCGGGGTGGCTCTGCCGGGCTAGGGGGGGGAGGGGGGGAGGGGGGGTCATCGGGTCCACGCTTTCTTTCCCCCCCCCCCTAGGAAATTCAAACCGCCCCAAGACGGGCCAAAAGGGGCCCATGAGGCCCCCAAGACGGTCCAGGAGGAGCCCGAAACGGCCCAAAAGCGTTCCTGGGGTAGGGGGGGGAGGGGGGGGGGGTTCATGGGGTCCACCCTTTCTTCCCCCCCCCCGGGAATCCCAAACCGCCCCAAGACGGGCCAAAAAGGGCCCAGGAGGCCACCAAGACGGTCCAGGAGGCGCCCGAAACGGCCCAAGAGCGCTCCTGGACGCCCAAGATGGCCTGAAGAGGGCCCAAGAGGCCTCCAAGACGCCTGAAGGAGATCCCAAGAGGATCCCCAAGAGGGCCCCAAGAGGGTACAATGATAAAATTGCGAATAGGTTTTGAAGCATTTTAACGTCATCGCCTTCTCCGTCTTACAAGCACCGAAGACGGTCCAACAGGCCCCCAAGATCGCCCCAAGACAGCCCAAGAGGCCCCCAAGAGGAGCCAAGACGGTCCAAGAGGGCCCCAATATAGCCCTGGAGGCCCCCCAAGACGACCCCGAGGGGCCCCCAAGATGGCCTCAAGAGGGTGAATTCGAACGGACCCTTCTAGTCCTCCACCCCAAGATGACCCCAAGGGCCCCCAAGATGCCCCCGAGGCGCCCCCAAGGGGCCCCCAGAGGCCCCCGAGAGGTCCCCACGAGGCCCCAAAGAGGACCCCGAGAGATCCCCAAGAGGCCCCCAAGAGGACCCCGAGAGGCCCCCAAGAGGTCCCAAAGGCC